GGGGAGGAGGAGGAGCCCCTTCCTCATATTCCATCCCATCCCATCCCATCCCATCCCATCCCATCCCATCCCCATCCCAACCCTCTTCCTGTCCTCAGGAACACCGCAGAAATACGACCCCACTTTCAAAGGTCCCATCTACGACAGGTAAGTGGAGCCCCCCCCCGGAGCCAATGGGGTCCTCCCCGGGGTCCCCAAACGGGGGGGGGGTGGTCCCCAAAACCTTCCTCTCCTTGCTGGCAGGGGCTGCACCGACGTCGTCTGCTGCGTCCTGCTCGTCGTGGCCATCGTGGGCTACGTGGTGGTCGGGGTCGTGGGTACGTGCCCGGGGGGGGTCGGGGGGGGGCTGGTTTGGACCCTGTGCCGAGGGTCCCGCCCCTCTGGAAGGGCCGTGGGGGCTGCAATGACTCCAACCCCACCCTGTGCCCCCCAGCCTGGACCCACGGGGACCCCCGCAAGGTGATCCACCCCACGGACAGCCGGGGGCAGTTCTGCGGGCAGCAGGGGACCCCCAACGAGTGAGTGTCCCTCATGTCACCCCCTGAGACACCCCCTCCCCCTCATTGGGAGCCCCCCAGGGGGGAGGAGGGTTGGCCACAGGGGCTCCCCCAAACCGGGCGCGTTTTCGCTTCGTTCCGCAGGAAAAAGCCTTTCCTCTTCTACTTCGACATCGTCAAGTGCGCCAGCCCGCTGGTGCTGCTCGAGTTCCAGTGCCCCACCACGCAGGTACCACCCCCCTGGCCCCTCCACGGGGAGGGCACGGCGAAATGGGGGTCCCTACAACCCCCCCCTTCACTCCCCCATGTCCTCCCCACCCCCAGATCTGCGTCAGCAAATGCCCTGAGCGGTACCTGACGTACCTGACGGCCTGGGGCACGGCCAGGGGGTCCCTAACCCCTCCCCTCACCCCCGTGTCCTCCCCACCCCAGATCTGCGCTCAGCAAATGCCCCGAGCGGTACCTGACGGCCAGGGGGTCCCTACAACCCCCTCCCTCACCCCTCTGTGTCCTCCCCACCCCCAGATCTGCGTCAGCAAATACCCTGAGCGGTACCTGACGGCCAGGGGGTCCCTACGACCCCCTCCCTCACCCCCTGTGTCCTCCCTGCCCCCAGATCTGCGTCCAGCAAATGCCCTGAGAGGTACCTGACGCACCTGACGGCCCAGGGGGTCCCTACAGCCCCTCTCCCTCACCCCCTGTGTCCTCCCCACCCCCAGATCTGCGTCAGCAAATGCCCTAAGCGGTACCTGACGGCCAGGGGGTCCCTACAACCCCCTCCCTCACCCCTCTGTGTCCTCCCCACCCCCAGATCTGCGTCCAGCAAATGCCCTAAGCGGTACCTGATGGCCTGGGGCACGGCCAGGGTCCCTACAACCCCTCCCTCACCCCTCTGTGTCCTCCCCACCCCCAGATCTGCGTCAGCAAATGCCCCCAGCGGTACCTGACGGCCCAGGGGGTCCCTACAACCTCTCCCTCACCCCAATGTCCTCCCCACCCCCAGATCTGCGTCAGCAAATGCCCCGAGCGGTACCTGACGGCCCAGGGGGTCCCTACAACCCTCTCCCCCTCACCCCCCCGTGTCCTCCCCACCCCCAGATCTGCGTCAGCAAATGCCCCGAGCGGTACCTGACGGCCAGGGGGGTCCCTACAACCCCCTCCCCTCACCCCTCTGTGTCCTCCCCGCCCCAGATCTGCGTCAGCAAATGCCCTGAGCGGTACCTGATGTACCTGACGGCCCAGGGCATGGCCCCGAGCGGTACCTGACGTACCTGATTGCCCAGGGCATGGCCCTGAGCGGTACCTGACGTACCTGACGGCCAGGGGGGTCCCTACAACCCCCTCCCCTCACCCCTCTGTGTCCTCCCCACCCCCAGATCTGCGTCAGCAAATGCCCCGAGCGGTACCTGACGTACCTGACGGCCCAGGCCGCGCCGGGAGCTGCGGTACTACCGGGACTTCTGCGTGCCCTCCTTCGACCCTCGCAAGGTGGGTGGCGGCTCGGCGGCGCCGGCGGCACCGAGGGGTCCTCCCCGTGCCCGGAGCGCTGACGGCCCCCGCTGTGTCCCCCCCCCCTCCACCCTCCACAGGCTCCTCTCGAGGTGCTGAAGGACAGGGAGTGCCCGGCCATGCTCATCCCCAGCACCCCACGTATGTTGATTAGCGGGGAGCTCGTTAACGAGCTCGCTAACGATTGTTGGAGGCTCCTGTTTTGGGGGGTCCCAGGGTAGGGGGGGGGATTTTGGGCTGGTTTTCCCTGCTGAGCAGCCCCCTCCTGTCCCCGGCCAGTGGCACGGAGGTGCTTCCCGGCCATCCAGGCCAAGAAGGGCGTGATCATGGTGGGCAACGAGACCACCTACGACGACGGCCGCGGGCGCCGCAGGAACGTCACCGAGCTGCTGGAGGGGGCCAAGTGAGTCACCAAACCGCTTCAGGAGCCGCTGCCCCCGAGGAGGAACGAGCGGGTCCGCCTCAGCCGGGGGCTGGTGTCGGGAATCCCGCCCCAAAACCCGGATCCTCCGTCCCTGCCGGGCTCCTCGGGGCTCCTGCTCCATCGCTGTCCCCCGGGCTCCTCGGGGCTCCCGCTCCATCACTGTCCCCCCCCTGCCTTGCAGAAAAGCCAACGTGGTGCTGGAGACCCGGCAGCTGGCCATGAAGATCTTCGAGGACTACACGGTGTCCTGGTACTGGATCATCATGTGAGCACGGCCCTCCCTTCCCGCGGGATTCCCGGGATTTCCCCCCTCCCTGTGGAGGGGGCTCCGCTCCTGGCGCTCCCGTTTTGGGGTGCCCCGTGGGTGGCACGGGGTGGGGGGGGCTGTGACACGTGGGCGCCTTCCCTCCCGCAGAGGCCTCGTCATCGCCATGGTGGCCAGCCTGGTCTTCATCGTCCTGCTGCGCTTCCTGGCCGGCATCATGGTCTGGGTCATGATCGTGATGGTGATCCTGGTGTTGGGATACGGTGAGCAGGGGGCAAGGGGGGATAATTGGGAGTGTCTCCCTGGCTTTTTCCCTTCTTTCCTCTCCCTGTTTCAAGCGGGATTTGCCTCCTGGAAGTTCGCTCTCCAGGTGCCTTCCCCCCAAGGTCGGCCCTGGTGGGGGGAAGGGTTCTCCCTTCCACAGGACAAATTTCCTGCTTCTTCCCACCCTCCCCCAGGAATCTTCCACTGCTACATGGAGTACGCCAAGCTGAAGGGGGAGGCGGGTTCCGACGTGTCCCTGGCGGACCTGGGCTTTCAGACCGACCTGCGCGTCTACCTCCACCTGCGGCAGACGTGGCTGGCCTTCCGTGAGTCCCGGGGCCCCCTCGAGGGCCGGGGCCGCGGGGAGGGGGGAGCACGGGAGGGGCTTTGCCCGGTGGTGCCGCCGCCCCCAGGGCAAAGTCGTCCCCCTTGCCCCCTGGCAGTGATCATCCTGTGCGTGCTGGAGCTGGTGATCGTCCTGCTGCTCGTCTTCCTGCGCAAGAGGATCCTCATCGCCATCGCGCTCATCAAGGAGGCCAGCAGGTCCGGGGGGAGGCACTGGGGGGGTCTGGGGGGGTGGATCCACTGGGGGGGTGGATCCCGGCGCCGCCGTGGGTTTTGACCCGCCTGTTGCAGGGCCGTCGGTCACGTCATGTCGTCGCTGCTCTTCCCGCTCTGCACCTTCTTCCTGCTGTGCCTCTGCATCGCCTACTGGGCCAGCACGGCCGTGTATCCTTCCCTCTGCCCCGCTCCCCGGGCAGGGAGCTGCCCGCTGCTCCAGGGTCTCCCCTCGCGCGGCAACCGCCCTAAAATCTCCGAAATGTGGCCCTAAACCAGCCCTGGGTGGGGGGGGGAGGAGGTTGGCGGGAGCGGAGCAGAGGCCGCTTTGGGGTTGGGATCGGGGTCTCTCCTTAACGTTCCCACCACAGCTTCCTCTCCACCTCCAACGAGGCCGTGTACAAGGTGTTCAACGAGTCCGCCTGCCCCTTCTCCGGGCAGACCTGCAGGCCGGAGGTGAGGACACAGGGGGAATGCAGGGTCCTGGCAGAGATGAGACCCCCTCGTGGCGCGAGAATCCCCCCCCGGGTGCGGCTCCCGCTCTCTGAGCCCCGGCCGCGTCCCCCCCGCTCTCCCCCGCAGACCTTCAACGCCACCAACGTCACCAAGCTGTGCCCCGACGCCCAGTGCCTCTTCGCCTTCTACGGCGGCGAGACGGCGTACCACAAGTACCTGGTGGCGCTGCAGTTCTTCAACGTCTTCATGTTCTTCTGGCTCGCCAACTTCGTCATCGCCCTGGGCCAGGTGACGCTGGCGGGCGCCTTCGCCTCCTACTACTGGGCCTTCAAGAAGCCCGACGACATGCCGGCCTTCCCGCTCTTCTCCGCCTTCGGCCGCGCGCTCCGGTACGTCCCCCACGCCTGGGGATGGTGAGGGGGACACGGCGGCTCCTCCCGGGGCTCGTCCCCCCCTTCTAACGAGCCCGGGCTACCCCAGGTTCCACACGGGCTCGCTGGCCTTCGGCTCGCTGGTGCTCGCCGTCGTGCAGGTCGTCAGGGTGGTGCTGGAGTACCTGGACCACCGGCTGAAAGGTAGCGGGGCTGGGGGCTGGGGGCTCGGGTCCAGGGGAGTCGCTCCAGGGTTTGGGGACAGGATCAGGGTTTTTCCTCTTCCAGCCTCGGAGCGGCCTCTTTGCCCGAGGAAGGAAGGGATCCCTCCCTGTGAGGGCAGGGGGGATCTGGGAAGGGTTACCCAGAGGAGCTGGGTCTGCCCCAGCCCTGGAGGTGTCCGAGGCCAGGCTGGACGGGGCTTGGAGCAACCTGGGATAGCAGGAGGTGTCCCTGCCTGGGAGAGGACGAGCTCCCTCCCGGCTCCAAACCATTCCGTAGCTCGTGATTCCCTGAGGAGTTTCCTGGGGCAGCAGCCAAGGGACGTTCTGTGGCTCCAGGCTAAGCCAGCCCGGTGCCAGGGAAGTCGTGGGGAAATGTAAACAGCGAGTGGGAGGGTGGGAAGAGCAGACGGGGCCCATCCCGCTCTCTGTGGCCACAGCGAGGCTGAAAACAGGACACGGGAGGGAGGCTGTGGTGGGACACGGTGTCACCAGGACCTTGGAGTTGCTGCTGGAATATCTGCCCCCCTTCTCCCCCCCACCCCGTGTTTGGTGCTGATTTTGGTGCCCTCCAGCCGCAGAGAACAAGTTTGCCAAGTTCCTCCTGAGCTGCCTCAAGTGCTGCTTCTGGTGCCTGGAAAAATTCATCAAATTCCTCAACAGGAACGCCTACATCATGGTAAGAGTTGCCCAAAACCAGGGGGGATGGGCTTCCCTGGGGGTTTCCTGGGGGGGGCTGCTGTTGGGAATTGTGTCTTCCCAGCTCTGGGAGTCAGTGGACGGGGAAGCACTTCCAGGGTGGGATTTACCAGAGACCTGCCCCGTTTCTCTCTCCCTGCCCCCCGTTTTGGCCGCTCTAGATCGCGATCTACGGCACCAACTTCTGCACCTCGGCCCGGAACGCCTTCTTCCTGCTGATGAGGAACGTCATCAGGTGAGATCCCGGCGTCCTGGAGGGCTCTGCTCGGCTCCTTCTGAGCCCTTCCTGCCTCCAAAGGCCACCCCTGACCCGGCTCCCCGTCCCCGGGGGCTCCCTCGGTGCCTCCCCCGGGGTGGGGAGCGGGCGTGGAGTCTCCTCTCTCTCCCTCCTGCTTCCAGGGTGGCCGTGTTAGACAAAGTCACGGATTTCCTCTTCTTCCTCGGGAAGCTCCTCATCGTGGGGAGCGTCGGTAAGCGCCGGGCACTGGAGGCTTCTCCTCGGGCGTCCCAAAAACCTCCGCTCGGGTCACCACGTCCTGTTTTCTGTGTTCCCCCCCACCCCCCCCGCCCCTCCTGCTGCCGCCGTGCCCACCCTTCGCTCGCTTTCCCAGGAATCCTCGCCTTCTTCTTCTTCACCCAGCGCATAAAGCTGGTCCAGGACACGGCGCCGCCGCTCAACTACTACTGGGTCCCGATCCTGGTGAGCCTCCGCGGGGCGACCCCCGGGGCAGAGGGGCCCCACGCAAAACCAAACCCCCTGCCCCTCAAGGGCCACCTTTGTGGGGTGTTTTCCCGGCGCAAAGAGCCCTTTGTTGGCCGGCGGCGTTGGCTGCACGCCCGCTTTCACCGGCCCCCGGCGTGGCTGAGGGCATTTTGTGTCCCCCCCTTTCCCCCCCCCCGGGGCTGCTCCGAACAGTCCTGCCCTGTTCCCTTCTCCCCCTTCCCCCGGGGAATTGGGGAGTCAGCGGTTTCCTCCTCCTCCTCCTCCTGCTGCTGCTGCTGCTGCTGCTCCCCCCGGGGCGCTCCGGGCTCTGTGACGGGCGTGGCGTCTCTTGCAGACGGTGATCGTGGGCTCCTACCTCATCGCCCACGGCTTCTTCAGCGTGTACGGCATGTGCGTGGACACCCTCTTCCTCTGCTTCTGTGAGTGCCCACCCGGGGTGGGGGAAAAGGGAAGGAAGGGGGGCAGGAATCCGTGGTGGCAAAACCTCCCCCCCCTCCCCAGACACAACCTCCAGGCTTGAGTTGTCCTGATCCAGTGGCCGGCGGCTCCAAAATCCCGGCGTTTTTTCCCTCCGTGTGGTTTTTCTCCCGCTTTTTTTTTTTTTTTCCCTCCTTTCCTGGCTCCTCCCCTGCGTTCTCACCTTGCCTGCTGCTCCTGCCTCCCTCCTGCTCCTTCTGTTTGGGTGCTTTCCGGTGGGATTAACCGCAGCTAACTTCGATTTCCCTTTTTCCCCTCTTTTTCCGCCCTTCTCTCTCTCTCTCTCGTGTCCCTCGTTCCCACGTTCTCCATCCTCCCTCTCCGCCCTGTCTCTCTTCTCTCTCTCCCCTCCGGCTCTCCCGCTGCTTTTTCACTCTTCCCTCCTCCCCGGGGGCTGGAGAAGGTGAAGACCTGGAGAGGAACGATGGATCCCCCGAGAGGCCTTACTACATGTCCCCCGAGCTGAGCGAGATCCTGCTGAAGGGGCACCTCGAGCCTTCCAAAAGCGCCGAGAGCCAGGGCTAAGGGGCTCTGCCCTCCCCTGGACCCCTCTCCTGGCCCCCCTCTCTATGCAAACCGCAGAGTTTCTGGCTGGGGCTGCAGAGCTTTGGGTTTCTCACCTGCTGCTGCTTCGGTGCCAGGAGCCGCCGCCGCAGCCCGGAGGGGTCCGAGGGTCCCTCGCGCTCGGCCCGCGGAGATTTTGGGGGGCCAATCCTTGGGAGCTGCTCTCGCCCTGCCAGGGGCTGGGGGAGGTGGTTTGGCCTCGGCCTGGTCCGGCTGTCACGATTAGGGGGCTCTGTGGGTTGCTTTGGGTCCGGGGCTGTTGTTTTCCCGGGATTTTCCGACCCCTTTGGCGCAGGGGCTCAACTTTGGGAGCGCTCCTGGTTGGGAACGCTGCTGGTTGTTGAGGGTGTCGGGTCAATCCCCAGGGGGATCGCTTTGCACTGGTGTCCCGAGCCCCTGGGAAGAGCCGAGGGGCCCTCCCTGCCCTCCAGGGGACCTCTTTTCCCCGAATTTTCCGCCTTCTCCCAATCCCCGCGGGCTGTTCCCGGGAACTCAGTGTGCCCAGGTGGCTTTGTTGTGACAGAGGGAGAGAAGGAGGAAGCCCTGGGCGAGCCCAGAGACCTCGTTGGGCCCGGGGTGGTGGCTGGAGGAGCCGTTCCCGGGGAGCCCCCGCTGAGCCAGGGCCGGGGGGGTGGAATTTCTGTCGGCAGTGGAGGACCTGGAGCGGAACGACGGCTCGGCGGACAAGCCCTACTTCATGTCCCCCAACCTGAGGAAGCTGCTCAAGAAGACCAACGCGGCGGGGCAGCCGGATGCGTGAAACCCCACCCCGGCCCGGCTCCCTCCCCCCTTCCCCCCGGCACCCACCGCCCATCCCGCGTGGAATTCCGGCCTCCTGGACCTTGGATTGTCTGCTCCTGTTCCCTCCCCGGTGAGGGGGCCTCGGGGAAACGGGGACTGCTGAGGGTCCGGCCTCGGATGGGCTCTGGCGGGGCTGAAGTCCCTCCTTGCCGGGGTGTCCGTGGGGTTTGATCCCGCTCCTTCATCCCGGAGAACGAGCCTGGCCACGTCCTCCGTTCCCTCGGCGCATCCTGGTGTGGAGGTGACGGGAGAACCAGCCTGGGCAGGGGGTCTGGGCGGCTCCTCGAGGGGGGTTTCTCAGCCCAAAATGTCGAGTTCTGGTTGGAGATCCCGGCCGGAGAGCGGAAACGGGCTGGGATCCCCTCCCTGCTCCTGCCGCCCTCCGGGGACGCACCAGGGCCCCCTTTTGGGCCCTAATTAACTAATTCTTTTAGGAATAAGCTAATTAACGCTTCTGTAGCCTGTAGCTTCTGCAGGGGTGGAGAGGAACGAGGGGTCCCCCGGGCAGAGTTGGGGGCTGAGGCTCTGGCCGGTTCCTGCACCTCCCCAGGACCGGCGGCTTCCGCTGATCCCTCCCCAAAAAATCTGCGTCCCGGCATCCAAAACCCCGGCAGTTTGGGGCAAACCCCTCCCTGAACGCTCTGCCTTCGGGGAGAGGGGGCGGCAGGTGGATCTGGGCAGGTTTTGGGCTCGTTTCGGGTGGTTTTGGGCTCGTTTCGGGTGGTTTTAGCAAACCCAGCGGCAGCCACCACCTCACACCTGCCCGAAGGTCCGGGAGCTTCGCCAGCTCCTGGCACGTGGGGGGGGAGGAAAAGGGGCTTTGGGGGGCTGAAAGGGGGTTAATTAACTCTAAACTACAACTAATTAACCCCAAAATGTAACAGAATTAACCCCCTCAGCTCCGCCGAAGCCCCTCGAGCGACGGGGGCAGAGTCGGTGCCACCAGTTGGGTGTTTGTTTTTTTTTATGTGGCTCATTTGTTAAAAAAGGACTCCAAAAAAAAACCCGCTCCGAGGCTTTGGGGGACGATTCCCAGCTCCCAGAGGACAGGGAGGGTGGGTCCCACCACCCCCTCCCCCTGGAATTGGGGCTGAGAGATCCCTTTTGGGTTTTGTATCAGACTGGGGGACGTTCCTATGGAATCCTCCGGCGCTTTGGGGGCTTTTTTTGTATGTTTTGCTTTTCCGGGGGGTTTTTGGTTCTGCAGTTGACATTTTGAGCTTTTTTCCAGGGAATTCTCGGGGACAGAATCCTCTGCTGCCGCGGCAGAGCTTTGCTGGCCCGGATCAGAAGCTGTAATTTGTTTAAATTCCCCTTTTTTTTTCCCCCCCTCCCTCCTGTCTGGGTGCCCCGGGGTGGAGCTGAGCAGGGCAAGGGCAAGGGCAAGGTGAGGCCAGGGAAATGAAGGAGGAGGGAAAACTAAAAAGGTGAAGGGAAAGGTAAAAACAAAAAAAAAAATTATGGGAAAGGTAAAAACAGAAGTAAAAAAAAGGTAGGGAAAAGGTGAAATAATGCTCTGTTTGGGAATAATTCAGGGAATTATAACCTGAGCAGATTTTGGGGGGGGAGGGAGGGGTTTGGGTTCAGTTTCTGCTCGGGATGCCCCTGCTGGGGGGGGTGAATTCCCTCTCGCCCCTCCCCATTCCAGCTGTGTTTGCTTCCCAAATCCCATTCCCAGCAGGAACGGGGAGGGCTGGAAGGGAAAGAAGGAATTGGGGGAAAAGCTGCTCCTGGGGACGCCGGGCTGGCCCCGGTGAGGCGGGACTGGAGCAGCAGAGTTTGAGGATTTCCAATTCCCAGGAAAGCCCAAGGAGCTGCCCAGGGAGGGGGGTTTGGTGTCCGAAAAAAAAACCTTCCTGGCCTGGGCTCTTCCCTCCCACAGCTCCTGGAGCGAAGCTCGAGGTGTTAAAACCTCCCCTTTTTTTTAGGAATAACGGTGCTTTTTTTTTTTCCCCCTGCCTGGAATTGCCGCTCCTGTCCCTACAAATCCTCCCCCACCCCGGGATCGGGGCCGGGTAAAGGGGGGATAAAGGAAAAAAAAACCAAACCCTCCAAAGTGCTAAAAGCCCACAGGGCTGCTGTTCTACACCCAAATGCTCGTTTTTAGCGCGTTCCTGAGGCGTGGACGTTCCTGAGGCATGGATGTTCCTGAGGGATTGATGTTCCTGAGGGATTGATGTTCCTGAGGCATGGACGTTCCTGAGGCATGGATGTTCCTGAGGCATTGGTGTTCCTGAGGGATTGATGTTCCTGAGGCATTGATGTTCCTGAGGCATTGATGTTCCTGAGGGATTGATGTTCCTGAGGGATTGATGTTCCTGAGGGATTGATGTTCCTGAGGCATGGATGTTCCTGAGGCATGGACAATGCTGGTGCTCCAGGGAGGGTTGGGGGGTGGGATTCGTCAGCGTTGCCACCAACAATAAAAAAAAGTGCCTGTTTGGAGCTGGCCTGGCCTGGTCGTGTCCTCCCCTCCCACCCCAGGGCTGAGCGTGACCGATTCTGCCGGGTTTCACCCCAAAAACAGATGCCCGGGGGGCTTTTTCTAAGGAGCCAAGTGCTCCTTAAAGACACTCCATTAACTGGATTGTTGGATTCAAAAAAAAAAAGCAAAACACATTTTTGAGGTCAAAACCCTTCCGAAGAAAGGTGTTTTTGAGGTGAAACCTCTGGAAAAAAAAAAAGGTGCTTTTGAGGTCAAACCACTCCAAGAAAACAGTCGTTTTGAGACCAAACCCCTCAAAAGAAGGTGTTTTTGAGGTCAAACCCCTCTGAAAAGGCCATCTTTGAGGTAGTTTCCCTTGGTTCCTTGTCGGAGAAGAATCTTACCGCTGAGCTCCTCTACTCCGGTCCCTCGCGGGGGGGGGTCCCTCAGGTGTGTCCCCTCAGTGGGGTGCCCTCAGGTGTGTGCCCTCAGGGTGTCCCCTCAGGTGTGTCCCCCTCAGGTGTGTCCCCCTCAGGGTCCCCTCAGCTCTGTCCTCTCAGGGTCCCCTCAGATCTGTCCCCCTCAGCTCTGTCCCCTCAGCTCTGTCCTCCTCAGGGTGTCCCCTCAGCTCTGTCCTCTCAGGGTCCCCTCAGGTCTCTCCCCTCAGGGTCCCCTCAGATCTGTCCCCCTCAGCTCTGTCCCCTCAGGGTCCCCTCAGGCCGCCCCCCCACACCGATCCGTTCCCGCCACCGCTCTCGGCCCCACCCCTTTGCGCCCCACCCACCCTCCACACTCTCCCATTGGTCCTGCCTCCTGCCCATCACTCCCTGATCACTCTCCCATTGGCCCGCGCCCTCCGCCCCTCCCTTCGGCCCCGCCTCCCGCCGCCCTCCCTCTCCCTGTCCGTCACCCTCCCTCCGCCCCTCTCCTATTGGCTCCGCCCCCTGTCCGTCACTCCCCTCCGCGCTCTCCCATTGGCCCGCGCCCGCCGCGCTCCCCGCGGCGGCCCCGCCCCTCCCTGGCGCGCGCGCCCCCAGCGGCGGCGGCCCCGCCCCGCCGCAGTCCCGGCGCCGCCGCTCCGGCCCCGCTCCGGCCCCGCTCCCGGCCCCGCTCCGGCCCCTCCGGCCCCTCCGGGCCCCCGCCGGCCGGGCCGGGCCGAGCCGCGCCCCGAAGCACCGCCCCATCCTCTCCGGTAGGAGCTGTTCCCGCGCCGCGCGCGGATTGAGGAGGAGAGGCGCCGGGCCGGGCGGGCCAGGCCGGGCCGGGCGGGGGCGGTGCCGGGGCGGGAGGAGCCGGGGTGCGTGGGGAGAGAATGAGGCGGGTGGGGGCGGCGGCAGGACGCGGTGACCCGGCCCCCGTGTCCCCTCCCTCGCGCCCGGCCCATTGTGTGCAGACAAAATGGCGGCGGTGAGTGAGGGGAGGGCGGGGGGCGCGGGCCAGGCCCCTCACGGAGCCCCCTCGGCGGCCGCCCCGAGGGCCGGGGCGGGGGCGCGCCGGGCCAGGGGGAGCGCGGGGGTCGCTCGGGGCTCCCCGGAGCCCCCTCGGTGCCCGCCGCCGCCGCCGCTTTTGTTTCGCGCCGCGCTTGCAAATGGCGGCAGCGCCCGGCGGCCCCCGCGCCCCTCCTCACCCTCCGCGCCCCGTCCTCACCCGCCGCCTGCGCCCCCTCCTCACACCCGGCATCCCCCTGCATCCCCTCTGCTCCCTCCTCACACCCGGCATCCCCCTGCATCCCCCTCTGCTCCTCCCCACCCAGCATCCTCCTGCATCCCCCGTGCTCCCTCCTCACACCTGCATCCCTCCTGTGCCCTCTCCTCACCCTCTGCATCCCCCCGTGCCCCCTCCTCACCCTGTGCTCCTCCTCACACCCAGCATCCTCCCCTGCATCCCCCCCGTGCTCCTTCCTCACACCCTGCATCCCTCTTGTGCCTTCTCCTGACACCCTGCATGCCCCCGTGCCCCCTCCTCACCCTCTGCATCCCCCCTGCATCCTCCCTACTCCCCCTCCTCACCCCCTGTACCCCCTCCTCACCCCCTTTACCCCCTCCTCGCCCCACAGGTTCCTTCGGGGCCCCGCACACATTGTGGGGTTGGGGATGATGGGGCCCTTGGGGGGGTTTTGAGTGGGGCTGGTCCTTTCCTGACCCCTTCAGCCACCCCTGGGGTGAGGGGTGTGTGTTGGAGGGGGTGTCACGGAGGAGGTGGGATCAGCCCACCCCATCACAGGCTGGGAATTGGGGTCGGACCATGCCCTTTGGGGGAATTGGAGGGCCCTTCTCCCCCCTCAGGACCAGGATCCCGCTCTCCTCCCCGCAGCTCTTCCCAGCCTCTCCCTCTGCTCCCTCCCAATCCCCGCTGTTCCAGCCCGTTTTGCGTGGCTGCTCCGTTTGGGGATGGTTTAGGAACAGAGCAATCCCTTCCCAATTCCCTGTGCTCCGGGATTCCCGCTGGAATCCAGGCCCCCGGATCGCCCCCTGCGAGGGTCCCGTCCCGGGCAGCTTCCAAAGCATGGATAGGAGCGACCAGTTCTTCCCTGAATCCCAAACCCAGCTTTGCTGGTGCCAAACTTCCCGTACTTAGGGCAGAAATTCCAGCCTTTCATCTCCTCCATCCTCCCAGCCCCACGTTTGGGAGGGTCGGGTCGCTCCCGTCACCCTGGAGGCTCCATCCGAGCGG